GGCCATGCGTAAGTGGTTTTCTGTGACCTTGTGATCGTTTCTAATAATCTTGGTTGCAGATCGTATTTTGCCCAAGCGCTTGGCTGTTAACATCAAGGAGGGCGTGCAGCATCGGACTGTGTTTGAGGCTTTCAACGCCGCCCTGGAGGAGTTGAGGCCGAGTGAAGTCGCGAAGTGGCGGGCATGGGTCATACAGTGGGAATCGATGCAGCATCAAGACGCCAAGGATTCGCCGTTCGAGACGATGGAGGAAGGTAAGCGCAGATGATCGGCGACATGGATGACACTGATTTTTTGACACAGAAACGACATTACGCGCGTTACAACTCAAGATCGCTGAGGAGGAGTTCATATGTACAGACGATCGTGTGGAGATTGAGAGGGAGCATTCTCCTGGATCATTCCTGGGGCTGGGCCTAGTGTTGGAGGAAGCGCAGTACGTGTAGAGGCTAAGCAAGCAAATTGTTACTAACCCATTCGGACAGACGCAGGTCAACGGTCGATATGAAGGCTCTGAAGGATCCATCGGTCACCCAAAAACTCGCATTCACGAAATGGCGGACGACATTGTTAAAACAAATCTACAAATTCCGCGCTATCCAGCGTATCTACATGCCCGCCCTGCGGCCCATCCTCTCGGATCTCGACAAACAAATATATGATGGGAACGGAGAGCAGACGCCGGAGTGCACGCGGCTATTCATGCCGTCCGAGCTAACCGACAAGAAGCTACGCAAAAGCGCGTGTGCAATAGGGTTACCGGACCTAGAGGCGCAAATGCGGGAGGCGGAGGCGGGCGAGGCACTGGAGGCGGTCCGCCACGGCTTGCGCACGCGCACCATGACGAATCGCTACAAGATTCGGAATTTCACCGGGCAGGGAATGATGACGAGGGGTCAAGGCATTTTGCGGCAGATCAATGTGAAGATCCACCACGCGAAGCTGCGATACCGGTATGCGTGGGCGGCGCTGCTGGTCCTGTGGGGGCATGGGGGCTGGGAGGAGGGCTTGAAGGTCCTTGCCGACGATGACGTGCGTGCGCTCAATGAGCGCGTGCTCACACTGGAGGAGAAAGCCCAAAACGAGCACTGGGCGGAGCTGGGTGGGGCGATCATCGAGGGCGGCGTTGCGCGGGCCGCTGGAGTTGCAGCAGGGGAGGGGAGGCACTACCTCTCTTGGATTTGGTTTTCCGCGGGTCTCCCTAGCGTTGGCTCGGAGGAGAACGACCCGAAACTCATCGAAGGTACATTATTTGGTGTATTTATGAGTAAATATACTAATATGTGGCGCTTTTATTGCAGCCCTCCGTGTGGAATGGTGCAAGGTGTTCGCCCGGACCAGACGCTACGCAGAGGACGTACGGATGCTGCGGGAGGAAATGGGACGGACGATGGAGTCCGGGTACCGAGAGGCGGAAGCATGGGAGGATTTGTTGGTCAACAAACTACCTGACGCCTCCCCAGAGCTGCGCGAGGGCCGACTTGCGTATGCTGCAGAGCACGCGGAAACTGAACGGGAGATGTGTGCGCGATTGGAGCTGAAGTGGCAGCCCCTGATGGAACGGGCGAGCGCTTTTCTGGCGGGCGAGCACGTGCTGGATACCGACACAGTGACGGTGGAGCTGGAGCTAGGGGATGAACTGGAGCCTGAAGAGGAGGAGGCACGTCTGGAGGCGGAGGAGGAGGACGATTAGCACTTTTCTGCGCGTTTTTGGGTGGAGTGAGGGCTGTTGGTGTCTGGATTAAATACATGTAAACACTGATACTGTTTTCAATGTATTTAATCCATCTCGGCACACACGGCACATGTATTCTACGCAACGCTGTCACATCGACTGGTTTTGCAGGGGAGGGCGTGACGGAAAGCAGGGGATATTATATTTTTTTGATGCGTTGCCGCATGGAATAGCTAAATGGGGCAGGCGGAGGGTACATTGCATTATGGTACATCTTGATTGGGCCACCCAGATGTACCCACATTGCAATGTACCCCCCTGCCACGGTGGGGTACATTGTATTGTGGCTACAACCACTGGTGCGCAATTCGCTCAGATGCAGCCTGTACCGACACAGCCTGCACCCTCGCGGCCTACCCAGACGCAGCCGGCGACCTCGCCGCCTGCCATATCGGGGGGTCACGATGCCCCACCCCACAGGGCGCAGCAACAGGGCCGAGGCCCTGAGCGGGACTACCGTCACCATCGCTCGCGCTCTCACTCGCGATCTCACAGGCGCCGGTACTCCGACTCCCCGCCTAGGTACCAGGAGCACCAACACGGCTACAGTCGCGGCAACGGACAAGGCTACACCCCACAAGCAGCAAGTGTATGCCCAGCGACAGCAGAACAATCCCCACAACGATAATTACCGCGGCAGGAGCTTCGAGCCCCGTGGATGGGCTGCACGCGGCAATGCGGGATACAACCGCCACGAGGCTACTAGGGGTGCACAACAACGCCGTTATAGCCTGGTTGCCTCCGCAAATCGCGGTACAACACGCCTGCGGGCAGCGAACACCACCGACATGGTGCCGTTCACACCCAAACCACCACCGTCCCTCGCAGACGCTGAACGCGATGCCAGGGGCCATCCCCTGTTCCCACTGCCCGACAATGTCAGCGAATATCTGGGCAGCGACGACAGCAGCGAGAGTGCCGCCGTAGCCGCGAAATCCCTTTGCGCCTCGGAAATGGTACGCATCACCAAACTTGGCCCCAGAACAGAACCCCCTGCCCCAGTGCCTGAGAACGCAGCGGCAGTTGGTGTTTGGCATGGGCTCACGGTGCAGTCAACGCCCGACGGCCGTAACATGCTGCAGTGGAACGATGCGGGCTGCCCGTTCACACGAGCTAAGGTGTTGCACCTCATTGCACACTGGAAAGCCCGCCCGCCCGAGCGCCGGCCTGCGGGCATCACATACCTTATGTCGCAGGAGAGCACAAGCCGCGAGCGGTTCCTCCTTGCAACCACGGGCAAGCCCTTCGAGAAGAAGAGGAAGTCGAAGGCCGCCATTGCGAGTGCGAGTGGCCCCACAACCGGCGCCAGCGCCCAGTCCGGCCCCTCGAGCGCAAGCGCTCAACTGGAGGAGGACTCTGAAATGCCTGCCGTGCCACCCGCCGTTGAGACGGTTGCGCCTTACCTTGGGCTGTCCCCGTCCGGCAATGATGTGGGAGTGGTAAACTCTTGCACCCTCTTGTCCGACGCGGTCGAGCACTGGGCGAAAATCCCCACAAAGGATTGGTACGCGGGGATGCGTGGTGAATACCCACGCAAGGAGTACGAGCGTCCGGACGTCAGGGACGTACGCTCTGTGATGTCGCTGGCGGTGTTCATCGCGAACCCCGGCTTCGAAGAGACATCGCTAACAATGTTCTCCTGCGCGGGAATGTTTGCGCGATTCGTGCACAAGGGCGCATATAAGTTAGCCCTGAGGGGCCCTGAGCGCTTCGAATTCGAAACGAAGGATTGTGGGTGGTCGGAAGCGGCGGCCTGGTGGATGTGCCATGGGCTGAGTCCCGTGTCTGAGGATACGCAGATCATCGAGTCGTTCGCCTGCTCCTGGCGCAATCGTCTCGCGGGCGGGGAGATACCTGGCAACATCATATTCACCGAGTACCCCACCGATCCCGGATGCACGTCAACGCTGTCCAGTGCGGACATTGTCCCGTGGAATATGCTGGTATTCCCGAAGCTTGTGGATGGCAGGACATCATCCTTCCCTCAGGATGTCTCCAGCGCGAGCGCGGAAGTACTGCCACTTGGGCCGATCTTGGACGAGGACGATTCGATGGGCGTCGAAAAGGAAGACTGAGTAGACTGGGGCGAATCCAATATACGGGACTCCACTCTACCACCTCTACCGACTTAATAATTCGGACGCACATGTTCGTCCTGGGGGGAGGGGTGTAACAGGTTACATTCTACCTACTTCGTCTACAGCCCACCGGGTGGGCTTACTTACATATTGACATCTTTACATCACATGACCGTTTACTGTAGCTATATGTTGGTGGTCACGCGGTAGTGTTTTCTCTTAACAACTACCCACTTGACTACCTTGACTTCTATAACAATAGATCTTGGGTTAACTCAATTCGGTGGCTGTCTAAGTTAACAACATCCTACCTCATTACATGCTCGTTGAGGATTGAGGAAATACGTGACAAATTCAATCTCCGCTCTGCACAAGTGTCACCGTGACATTAGTGTGACCATCTTTCTCCTCAACCCGCAGCGATTATCCACCGGTAAAACATTACTGGCTGGCAGAATGTTTTGTGTAGTATCCAGAATGGTCTCCCTTTTTTCTGACATCTTTCCGAGGCCAGGGAAGAGAAGAACTGGTAGATGTCCGTTCAGATCCCCAAAATTGATGGTCCGGGAACTGATTTTCTATCCCTTCCCGTTCACTATTCTCTTAGAGATTTCACACAATAGTAGATGAGAAGTGCATGTATTAATTCCGGAAGATACCGGGAGGAATGAGCTACAGGCTGAGGAGAAAAGTCGACTGTCCAGACCCATTGGGCAACATAGTATACTTTTTGCGAAACGGCCGTATCCACATACTTATATAAAGATGGCATGTACCGTCGAACTGGAACCCATCCCATACACTATTAATGACTTCTGTCTTCCTCCTCTGTGGTACATTGCATTCAATCCCATCGTAACAATCCTGCTCTTTGTCCCTGCCAGCAAGATGCTCTTGAATTCTGTTAAGAAAACGTGGAAGGTGTTTGCACCATAAATTTAAAACCGAGGTTTCCTTCTCTTGATGATTCGATTTTAATATAGGGACAGGAATGCAGAGGTGAACTGAGCTGTGGGTGGTTGAAATTTCAATCATCAATGAGATCCTCTGCTTGGTCAAAGACACTCTCGCGTAGAACAGATAATCCGGGGAACTTTTCGCATAGATTTTCAGTTCCAAATAGAGTTCAAGCGAAGCCGGAATAAAACCAAGTACAGGAAAAAAAAAAACATGACGAAAAGGCAGAATGACCTGACCCCGAATCGAACGGGAAGCTTCTTCTCAAATTATAATACCCATCTCATAAGGAGAAGATGTGTTATCAATACACCACCAGACCTATATTCTCTGATTTGTATGATGGGGTTTACAGTAGAGAATAGAGGGAGAATGGTGGCAATTTCAACATAGCAAATTCCAACCAGTGAAATTAGGGAAAAGGGAAACAAAAGACAGCTTTTCTGAAATGAGAGTTCGAGAAAAGTGAGAAAACAAAAAGCTTCACGGAACAGGAATGGCCTGACCCCGAATCGAACAGGATGCTTCTTCTTAATATATTGGTGACTCCACTGACATACCAAAGAAAGATGTGTTACCAGTACACCACCAGGCCGTTGCTATCAGGTTTGGATGTGGATATATGTATGTTACAGTCGAGGCAAGTATGTGTGAAACACTGCCACTGCCCTCAGACGGCGGACAAAGCCCCGTTTTCAACCGGGTCAGCATTTTTGGAATTCTGTATTAGGGTATAGCTCACACCTTCGCTGTATCTATACCGCAGTGCTGCAAAACACCTACGGAAACCAAGCCAGTGTTGTGGTTGATCGTTGAACTGTGGTTGAAAATGTGGCTGTGTACATCAGTGGCTGTGTACCCACATTTTTTCTTTTGTTCTCATTTTTCTCCAGTCCAACAAAAATGGTGTGTCCCTCCTCTGCCGCGATACTGATGGATTCCCGTGCTGATTTGCAGGTGTCGTTTTAAAGCCCCCAAAGAAGGTCAAGACGCCCAAGGAAGAGAATGTCTCGCTCGGGCCACAGGTTGCAGAGGGCGAGCGTGTCTTTGATGTTGCGCACATCTTTGTGTCTTTCAACGACACCTTTGTGCATGTAACCGTTCTCTCGGGCAAGGAGACCATCTCCCGTGTCACTGGTCCGCTTCCCATTCCATTTCATCAATACAAAACTAATAGTCGTGCAGGCGGAAAAGGTCAAAGCTGACCGTGACGACTCTCCCCGTACACGGCCATGCATGCTGGCTGCCCAGGACGTCGCCGCCCGCTGCAAGGAGGTCGGCATCACCGCCCTACATATCAAAATCTGTGCGACTGGCGGAACAGGCGCGAAGACTCATGGCCTGGTGGACAAAGTGCCCTCCATGCCCTCGCCTGCGCCAGTATATCCATTGGCCGCATCGAGGACGTCACCCCCGTCCCCACTGATTATACCTGTCGCAAGGTCCGTATACTCCTTGTCCATTGTGCAGTCTGTTAACAGCAGTCTGTTAACACAAGTACAGGGTGGTTGCCATGGTTGCCGTCTCTGGTTAGAATACTGCTACCGCTTGTATCTAGGTACATTCAATGTCGTTGCTCGACGCGCAACAGGAATCTTCCTGTCCCGCGGTCGTCACTCCAATTGTTTGTGTTTGTGTAAGAGCGTGAATTGGGGTCTGTTTTTATCATCGTTCCCGATCCTTCGCTACTAGTATCCTGTGCCCGTCATCCAACTTTTTGACACGAGTCTTTCACCCTCCAAGCTGCCTCCAAGATTTGCATCTGCAGCACATCGTCTCAATTATTTTGCCACCACTAGGTTGTACATCCTTCTCACCATGCACGGCCTCCCTTTCTTGCCAGCCGCTGTTTCTCGCGTTTTGGGTTGTAAGTCAGCAACTCTATGCAGCGTCGCCTCAGCGTGCTTCTGCCATAGCCGCTCCTGCATTGGGTAATCCCTCGCAATCCCGATCTCTTGTCAACTCCTCTGCGCATCAACGTGTGCATGCCTTTCTCGCCGTCTTCGATTCAGATCCTGCTGGTAGCACCTGCACGCAGTTGACCACCTCATCAGGGTTGGCCTCCGCCATGACTTGGTCGTCGCTTCAACTGCCCTTAAGGTTGTGCCATCGCGTGTCAGCTACTAATCTTCAGGCTCCAACGTCAACCACGCTCTCTGCTCCTGCGCTCTCCTTGAGTTTCCATGCAATGTCGACATCCCTCCACGCCATTGGCTAGCCTCTCTCTCATTCAAAAATCAAGAAGTGATTAATGTTTTCTCTTGCATCGGTCGCTGGTCACTCCTTTCTCTGCACCTGCTACACCAACTTCTCTGCTACTCGCCAATTCTGCTCACCAGCACCTCCGTCCCGTTCAAACAGGTCTGCATTCTCAGCAGGGCCACACATTCGTCAATTGTGGCTCGATACTGGTGTCGGTGGACAAAAATAAAGATATAAAGAAATAAAGAAATGAAAAAATTGCCCAAAAGAGAAGGAATTTGGCGAGAAATCCCGGCGACTTCCCGCATTGTTCCGAGGCCTCACGTGAATCCTGATACTGAAAAAATGTTGGAAAATATGGTTTCTGGTGCTAGAAAACTCTGAAATAAAGTTATAAGGATTATATAGTGTGGTCCATTGCTCAGAAATATTTCTAGCCCTTTAGAAAAGCGGATACTAACAGGATTAATTATACCGATACTGAGTGGAGCTTGAAGATAGTGAGCGGAACTTGAATTATGTCTCCTTTAGGAAGTGTCAAGTTTAGCAACTGATATCACCGGCCGAACGCCGTGGAAAGAGAGACAATAGCATCTATGTTCTAGAAGTTGTTGCTGTTGCAGCTTGACTGCATTCCTCTCTGAAATTCTGCATATGGGTGCTTTACAGCATGCAGAAATTTCCTGGCATCAAATTCTTGAGTTTCCGGTTCAACCATGTGAACACTGAATGGCGCTGCAGAGGTTGTTTCTTAGGTACTTTTCAAAAATTTATACTGTTTCTTTATGCAGACTCGCTGCCCTAATCTATAATACTCTCTCAAAACAAGCTGCTTTCTTCAATTGACCATAAGTTCAACTTCCTGTTTTTCAAAGCGCTCTCCATCCACAGAAACTCTGATTGCCCTGAATACATTATGTTGATGCTGCTGGAATGCTCACATTGCATGATTCTGCCTGGTAAACATCTGTATACACTGTCCTTGAAGTGATAACTTTATTCAGCTGCACTTTGATTCTTTGTTGGGTGTCAATTATTACAATAACATGTGCTACAGCCACCATGAACTTTTGATTTATTATCAAGCCATCAACTATGTTCGAAAATGCTTCTCGTTCAACAGACCCAGTGGAACACCTCTCATCCTAGGAAGGTAGCTTTGTGATTTGCTGATCCATGGTTCAAAAACCCCTAGCTCCAAGTTTAAACCATTCAGGCCATTATAAAAGTATGTAACATGCATATCAGAGTTGCTAGTACTCTGCTCTTCATTCTCTTGTGCTCTAGAAGTAGGAAAATTAAAACCTGGCTCTCCTGCAAAAATAAAGTCAATCCACTTCCCTCAGGCCCTATTCTGGTTAGATCAATACCAGATATAACCAGAAAGATTCAATAAGTCATTTGACACTGTCTGCCGGAATCTTAGAGACAATGGCTTTCGTCGTTGGTTTCTTTTGAAATATTTTGTGGGAGGGAAAGAATTGTGCATTATCTGGGGTTTGAACTCTCGCACATCAGTCGCTACTGATGACTTTCAAACTCCGCTCAGTATCAGAATCAGTATCGGCCACCGCCATAAGTACACCGCCATTTCAAGCCGATGTGATTCCATCATTGGACGGTTGATCTCGACAAAATATTGATGTATTTGGTCGTATGGAGGTCGGTTTGGCAAGCTTGCTCAGAGACAGCTTGCGATATTCTAGGAGATTTCTGCGACGTCCTCAAACCTCCCACCTAAATGTCTTCAATTGTCCCTTATGTAAAGCCAGCAAATACTATACACACATTCTCCTTCCCCCATGTCCGATGATAGCTTTGCACCAGAAAGCAATGATATCATTATCCCGAGTTTCTCGCAGCGCGATGACACGACGCCAGCTGAAAACGAGATACATTGCCTGGGAATAGAGTGGGATGCACAGCAAGAACGGTGTCGGTCTCGTTACCATGTGCAGGCAGACTCGGAGCCAGACTCTCAGTCACAGTCTCCTCCGCGACCGAGTGCTCTTGCGGCAACCAAGACAATAACTGAGTGAGAACACCTGCACTTGCCCTACAATCCATTTAAGCATAATCATCCAGGCTCTATGAGCCAAATGAGGCACTAGATTCCCAAGCCAACTCACAAGAATGGTTGCAGGCACAACTGGAAAAGCAGGACTCGGAGTGCAAAATAGAAGCAGGCCAGGGCGAGTTGGTGGCTGATAATAGTGTGTCGCAAACTTCTCATTCCGCTTTCAATTCTGATTTCCTCAAGGTGCGGATAGCCACCTTGACTTCGAGCTCCTCCGCCTTCAATACAATGATATGGAGGCTGACCAGGACAAATTCCAAGCCGAATGCAAGCATTTGCAGGCCAAGCTCCGGGAAACTGAGGTTTCACTCAGATTTTTTCAACGTGAAACGGGCCGCTGGAGGTGGGCTGCAGCTTCCATGCACACAAAAATTCAAGGATTCCTCCGTGAACTGGGTGCTGCTGCGATGGTGCTTCGCTTTCCGGATGGACCACCTGCGAACCCGAAAATTAGCACATTCTTGTAGCTATGAATGAATTTGTTGATCTGAACACATGTCTTTATCAAGAGATCCTCCTGTTTCATATTGGCTTCTGGGACTATTCATTCAAAGTCCCAGCTTTGATGTGAAATTCAATATCAGTGCTCAGCCAGAAAAGGAAGTTAGAGACTCGGAGAAAGACTCTCAAATATTGTGGGTTCTACGAAATATTTTGTCGATCTGTCGGACTGGTATGAACTTTGGTATCTTGACGTGACTCTCAATTTTTTCTAGGGCAAAATATGGGAATCCCCATGTTTAGCGCCGCATTCAATATCAGTGGTCAATCCAGAAAAGGAAATTTGGAACTCCGAGAAAGCTTCTCGAGTATCATGGCTTCTAGGAAATATTTTGTCGATCTTTCGGACGGGTGAGGGCTTTGGCATCCTACGGCCACACTCAAGTTTTTCTGGACTGAAATATGGGAATCCCCATATTTGGTGCGGCATTCAATATCAGTACTCCAACTACAAATGGAAATTGAAGATGGCTGCTATCGAAATATATGTCACTCCCCATCCATGATAACATCCTCGTTCTCGAAATGCTCCTCTTCCTGCCTCTGTGCCTGGGCAGAAGCCATCTTGGCTTTGGTCTGTTTGTTGCGTGCCTTTGTTGCTTGGGCTTTTGCCTGTATTTCTGCACGCTTGGCTGGACCTGTCTGACGAAGCTTTGCTGCCAAACGACTATGCGTGGCCACACGATCTAAAAAGTAGGGAACTGGTGCGCGGTGAGTGAGCGGGGCAAAATGTCCCGAATAAGGTGTGCGTTGTGGAGACCGTGCATGTTGATGAGAAACCTGGCTTCTGGTGAATGCTGTGTCTGCAGCTCGGT